CTGTAAAGAAAAAAAAGAAAGGAAAAAAGAAAAAAAGAGAGAAAAGAAAAGGAGAGAAAAGAGAGAAGAGAGAAAAAGGGCAAAAAAAAAAAAAGAAAAAGGAAAAGAAAGAAAGAAAGAAAGAAACGTACGAACGTGTTAAAATGCAAAACGATCCATTTATGTAATCATATATCTTACAAATATTCGATGGTAGTCTGGTTTATACATAGATAAAATGTAAAAAAAAAAAAAAAAAAAAGAAAAAAGAAAAAAAAAAGAAATTTCTACAATTTTACGCGCTGTTTCTCTTTTCCTGTTTCGTAACTTCTATCGTCTGTTTTAGCTTTTCCTTCGGAAAAACCACTTGGCATATCATATCCCGCGATTTGCAGAATGCGCGAATATCGAAGAGAGATTCACGGTTATATTCCCTTCGAGCCGTATTGCCAGTGAAATCGCTTACTTGTTTTATATGCCAATGTACGTGTTGAAAGGATCGAAAGGTGAGAAGGAATAACGTTCTTCTGGATTGTTACGATCAAAATGATCGGAAATAGAGAAAGAAAAGATTATCTGTCTAATGTTTTTCTTTCTTTTTTTTTTTTTTTTTCTTTTTTTTTTTTTAAGTCCTTAGAACGATCTCGAACATTTGAAATTGAATTTTCGTATGATCGATTAGCTTTTCTTCGATACCATTCTCTTTTTCTTTTCTTTTCTTTTCTTTCTCTCTTTTTTTTTTTTTTCTTTTTCTTTCTTTTTTTTCCTCTTCTTCTTCTTCTCCTTTAATTTTATTGACTTTCGAAATGGTTAATGGCACGAACATTGAGTATTTCTTAGCGTGTCGCAATACGCATGAAATTTTTATTCGGAAACGGGGAAATAATTTTTTTAATCGTATTAATTACTTTTGGAGACGTAATAATTATCGTAAAATTAAAGTCGATTTTTAGAATATCCGTGGAATTGTTTTTTCTTTTCTTTTCTTTTTTTCTTTTTTTTTTTTTTTTAATTTTATTTTTGTCCTTTTTTTTCATCCTCTTTTTTTTTTTTTTCCTTCGACGAGATCAAATAATCACATTATTATTTGATTTTCAAAATGATAACTTTCGAAGTCGTCTCAATGGACGAAAATTTTGATAATGAATTATAACGTCCATGGTGGAATTATTTCCCGGCACGATGAAATTAATTTCTTTCATTTATATTACGATCTTTTGAATTCGTTAATAATTAAAAGAATTTTTCTATAACGACATCTACAATATTATCTATGAAATCGTTTTTTAACGAACATGACATGTCCGTTCTTTTTTTCTTTTAATTTATTTATTTTTTTCTTTTAATTTAAAAACATCAATTAACAGATAAAAACAGGCAAAAATAATTCTTATCCGATGTCTTCGGGAATCACTCGTATCATTGTTAATAAATTTTTTAAAGGAAAATGAAAAGGGAAGAAAAGAAAAACCAAAAAAAGAGAAAACAGAGAGAAAAAAAAAGAAAAAAAAAGAAAGAAAAAAGAAGGGAAAAAAAATCTTATTTTCATCGTGCATGCTCTATGTGAAAAGAAGATTCTGCTGATCGTCGAGTAAAATCGCGTTAACCGTCGACGCGGAAAATAATATCGTGAATAATGCTGAGAGGGATGGATAGAGAAAATAACAAAAAAAAAAAAGAAAGAAAAGAAAAGAGCGAGAGCGAGAGCGAGAGCGAGAGCACGAGAGCGCGCGTGAGAGAGAGAGAAAGAGGTATAAAGGGAAAAGAAGATGAGAAAGGGGCGGTGGTGGGGGGAAAAAGAAAAGAAATTTAAAGTCTTCGTAAGGACCTTATTGAGAAGCAAAACGAGGTAGGAAAAGAAAGAGGAGGTGACTAGTCTTTTACTTTACCAGTCTTCGTTTTTCTACTTTTCTATCGTTTTTCTTTGCCATGAACACATATCTACGTTACTTACTTACTTACTTACTTACTAACTTACTTGCTTACTTTTCGCATGTTGGACAAAGGGAATACGAAAATAAGTTCGTGCCAAAGCGGCGAACTGCTTGCTAATTCACCGGCGATAACGTCGCACGTGGACCTCCCTTATACGCGATAACGCGTCCCCAAGTAGGAAACAAACAACGTTTACATCATTCAAGAATGACGTAAAGAACGACGGAGAACCCTCTTTTATCCAGTCATATATATATATATATATATGTATGTACGTATGTATGTATGTATGTATGTATGTATAGCCCTATGATGTTTAACTTGTAAAATTCTGACAGTAATTGCGGAATTTTTAAGGGCACTTATAAAATAATCGTATATTTCTTACGAAATATGTGTTCATGTATTTAGAGATAAATGATTCTTTCAAGGATAATTCCTGTTTCCTTCGGTCATAATTCTTTTCGATAGATGAAAAAAAAAGAATAATAATAAAAAAAAAAAAAAAAGAAGAGGATAATATCTTGGTTGGTTAGATTTTTCTTTTTCTTTTTCTCTTTTTCTCTTTTTTTTTTTTTGCTTTCTCACATCTCAAACATTTCGTCTACTTATTTTTTCTTTTTTTTTTTTTTTTTTTTTTTTTTTGTCGATATACATATTACTCGCGTATATAATTCTAATTAATAATCTTTCAAACAATACCCTTTCCCCTTATTGATTTTGTTTTATTAATATCAAATGACGCCACGTCATCTCTCAAAAAGAGAATTAATTGGATCCAAGATAATACGATTTTCGATAAAATATCATTTTATTAATATCGAAAAATAATAAGACATTGGAATAATATTAGTATTGATTAAGTTTATAACTTTGAATGGAATGTATGAAATTTTGAGAATAGTATATGAACGTTAAGTGTACATTTTAATGTTTATAAAAGATATTTTAAATATGATCGAATTATTAAAAGACCTTTCGTATAATTGTTTTAAATTTCTTTGCGAAATAACTTGAATTAGAAAGGGCGAGGGAAGATGGAGAGGGAAGTGGGGAGTGGTGGTAGTGGTGGTGGGGAGGGGGGCGAGGGCGGGGTAATTGGGGAGGGGAGAAGAAATAAAGAAATAAAAGGAAGAAGGAAAAAACGAAAAGAAAAGAAAAAAAAAAAAAGAGAAAAGTAAAAAATTAAAGGTAGCCATTAGATAAGGAAGGAGACAAAGAACAATATCTTTTTATACTTTTTCGAAAAAGGGATTGCTCCGTGGAGACGTCACAGAAGTTCCTCGTTGTAAATCACTCGGTCGATCGACCCCACCAAGGTTTATCCATTTTCGAGGCCGCAGACGTAGAAAGGATACGGGTGAGAGCCACTCCTGACATCGTTCCAATCCTGATCTTTTTCTTTCTCTTCTCATTCACCCCCTTTTATCCCTCCATCTCTTACGCGGTCCTACGTCGAAGGCTTCATCCCTTGCGAAATTTATGTGCGGAACGACGTAGAAATTTCGAGAAAATTCCCAGGGCGTAAGTCCTACACCCTCGGGACACGTACCCTTTTTCTTCATCACCCTCCCCTCCCAACCCTATTTCGTATTTTCGTAGTTCACCCTCCCGCGAACCCCCGCGTTTAGTTACCTTCACTGTCGACCTTTACGATTGATATATAAGAGAATTCTTCGAACGACATGCGAACGAGAATTATCCGAGCATTCTTTTTTCTAACCGTAAAATTACAACACCCCCGTATATTTATTAATCAAGATCATTATCATTAATTCTATCCTACGAATAGATAGTTTCTATTTTTTTTTTCTTTATATTTATTCATTTATTTATTTATTTCATTGTTAAAAAGTATTTGCGAATAATTATTGCTCGATTGTATTTAATATAATCATATTTGAAATAATATAATCATATTATATTATTATGAATATAATCATATTAATGTAACATAATCATATTTGAAATCATTCAATTTTTTTCTTTTTTATTTATTTATTTATTTATCGGTTTATTTTCTTTTTCTCGTTTCTTTTTCTTTTTTTTTTGTTTTTTGTCAATAAGAATCTCATTTTTCTTTTGAATCGTATATATGCAGGCATGTCTCTTTTTCTTTCTCTCTCTCTCTCTCTCTCTCTCTGTGTTTGTGTGTGTGTGTGTGTGTATGTGTGTCTTCTACTACGAAAAATGGGATCTGGCTTGTAAAGTGACAGAGAGTGTGGCATATAAGAGAGTAACACATCCCTGCAGGCTAGCATTTCACAATTTCCTGTCTTTCGTCCTTCTTCTTCCTATTCTCCCTCTCTCTCTCTCTTTCTCTCTCTCTCTCTCTCTTTCTCTCTTTTACTTTTTTTTTACTAACTTCCATTATTTCTTTTCTCACCTACGTCTCTTTTTATTTTCTACATCGTACTTCCTTCTCTTTCCTTCTCTCTCTCTCTGTCTCTCTCTCTCTCTCTCTCTCTCTCTCGTATGTTACTTTCTTCATTTCATCCGGTTCTTACTCTTCGTAAGCGCAAGCTTCTTTGTTTATTTGCTTAAAAGCCACTCTGAAGAATATATACACACACACGTGGATCAGGATTTTGAATCTTCCTTTCTACATTTCTCTTTTTTTTTTCCTTTTTCTTTTCTTTTTTCCTTTCTCGAAAGAATTCGTTTTCTTACTCGACTTTGATTATCTTTATATATATATATATATATATACACACACATACACACACACATACACATATATATATATATATATATATATATATATATATATATATATAGTTTTCTAGAACAAAACTAATATTTAAAGAAATCTACGAGATCGAAAGATTATCCTTTGATTTTTATCTGACATAAGATATCGTTCCATTTCGTTTTCATTATACTCGTTTACAAAGAGCTATGGAAAAGTGGATCTATTAAGTGTGATATTCGATTTAGTGAATAAATTGCGTTCATGCGTTCAGCGATAAAAGTAAAGGAAAAAATGAGAAAAAAAAAAAAAAAAAAAAACAAAAGAAAAACCAAAAAAGAGAAAGAAAAGAAAGAAAAAAGAAAAAAAGCAAAAAAAGGTACTTTTGTAAGAGAAA